TAGTTATACGTAGTAGTAGTAGTATATATATATATATATATATATATATATATATATATATAACATGAGAATATATCAGGTTTTGGTATGTCATATATTTATGTATTATATATTGTAAACTGTATATCTATAGATGTGTTAGATGGGATACTTGCATATGTATCCATATCCTAGAAATTGGGGAAATTCCAGTCATATCCCTATTCTATATGTCCATGCCTACATCCATAAACCTAAAATGAGCAGCTCGCTCCATCTTTGAGACAGCCATTTGTGAAAACAACTATCAATAACTGATTTACCACATTATAATTATGAAACAATCATTAAAACTAGCCATTCACCTAAAAAAAACTATTATGTCCAATACATTGAGGAAATTTATTTAGAGACAAGGGATTTAATAAACATCCATATGAAAACTGCACCTTGGAACTAAAATATGCTTTTGTAACTTTGTGGAGCACTTTTATCTCAATCACATGTATTTCGAAAAAGTTAATATGGTTTTAAGTACATAAAAACAAGGAAAGAAGACTACTATTAAAATTTCCTAGGTGTTGCTTATGCAATTTTTAGTACAGTGATAACGAAAAATAAGGGAGGTTAGCTAGAAGAGTTGTTTATAATAGAAAAGAGGAAAGGGTTTTAAGTACATTAAAAATAAGGAAAGAGGATTACTATTTAAATTTCCTAGGTGCTGCCTATGCAATTTTTAGTACGTGAAAAATAAGGGAGGTTAGCCTGAAGAGTTGTTCATAATAGACATAAATGTTAACATTGATGGGTACTACATTCACATCAATACAGAGTTGTCCTCATATAGCATAAGCCATCCCCAAATTGAGTCATAAATATTAACATGAAATTGAGCCACATGGCACTACATTTACATCAAAAGCCATCCCCAAATTGGGCCATAAATATTAATAAATATTAACATTGATGGCACTAGATTCACATCAATACAGAATTAGCTTCAATGAGACGTATCATATAGCAAAAGCCATCCCCAAATTGAGTCATAACTACATTCACATCAATACAAGGTTGTCTCATACAGCAAAAGCCATCCCCAAATTGACCTGATTTAAGAGTGCATACACTTCTCAATCAATACAGAGTTGCCTCATACAACAAAGCCATCCCCAAATCAAGCTGATTTAATAGTGTATATACTTATCAATCCATCAACAACTTCATAATAGTTCAACCATTGGCTTTTAGCTTCACAAGTAATTAAGAGACTATTGGTTTTTACCTTCACCAATAATTAACACTTAAAAAAGCAAACTCAGCTTAAAGAAAAAAGATTCACACCAAATAGAACACTTACTCAATATAAAAAAAATTGGATGACCATTTTTTTTTTCTTGGGTTAACATTGTATTAATTTTTTGAAAATTATTACAAAGAGACAGCCCACATATGGGTGCCTATACGGAATGCCCAAAAAATGCTTGTTGTGGCATGACGAAAGAAGGGTGGAGGGTTTTGAATATATAACATGAATATATATGGAAAACTTTGTACATCAATTTCTACAAATTTTTCAATTGATCCGAAAAACTACCTTAGGGTTTTTCTAAATGGTTGAAATATGAACGATTTGAATCAATTATTAGTGTTTGGTTCTGATTTGAGAGAGAAAATTTTATTAGATTGTTTGGTTCTGATTTGAGAGAGAAAATTTTATTAGATTGTTTGCTTCTGATTTGAGAGAGAAAATTAAAGAAGGGCGGATGAGTGAATTAGGGTTCAATAACATGAGGTCTCGATGCAAAAACCTCACTGAAATTATTTTCTTTTTGTTTGAGATGGGCATTTTGGTGGATCTATAAAGGATCGTGATGCCAAATTCAATTGGATGCATCCTTACCTAAAGATGATGCCCGGGAAAATTTGATGAAGGATTTGAGCTTCAATAACTTGCAGCTCAAGCTTATGACTGTACACCCTATAACCCCGAAGCTTCCAATCTGAACTTTTCTTCCTTTTTTTCTCTTCTCACCCCAACTCTCCCCTTTTTCTCTCTCTCTCAACATCTCTTCCTCTTCTCTTTCAATCCAACTATCCGCTCTTTCTCTCTAAATTCCTCTTCCTCCAGTCTAATCTCCAAGCCTCGTGTGGCATAGGGACATGCTGAGGGAAGCAAAAATCGCTCCCGACGATCACCGGTTTTGCTTTTTTTTTTTTACTATGCAATCATGGCCGTCGAAATGTATGGACTGCGTATATTAGGCATCCGTATGAAAACTGCCCCCACAAAATACATTATTTTTGTTTTCTCATTAAAATGATTTAACTACATTATGGTGACTATGGTCACTCCACAACTATGGTTAAAGTTTTATAAATTTCTTTAATTGAAAATAAGCTTACAGAAATTTGGGTTTCACATATGTGTTTACGGTTTAGAGAGAGAAGAAGGAAGAAAGAAGAGAAGAAAATAGGGCTTTGCTCATGGCCATTAGGGTGTATGGAGAGAAGAAGGAAAAAAAAAGAGGTCATGGGCTTCATAAAACCTAATGGAAGAGGCCCTCACTGATTTTTAGAGAGAAAAAAGGAAGAACCCTAATAGAAGAGATCTTAACTGATTTTTAGAGAGAGAAAAGGAAGAACCCTAATGGAAGAGCCCTGACTAATTTTTAGAGAGAGAAAAAGAAAATAGGATGCTGATTTGGGATAGTTTGAAAATGGTTTTTCTTTCTGATTTGGAATAGTTTTAAGAGGATTTTTCATTTTTTTGGAGAAACAGCAAGCAGAGTTGAATGATTAAGTTTGGCAAACTATTCCTATATGTACAATTACCTGCTCTTGTAAGTTTACAATTAACAAAATAAAAAACAAAATTTGATTACTTAGTCTCTCTGCTTCTCATTCATCAGTAAAAAAGATTATGTTTTGAGCTCTAATTTGTGCTAGAAACAATATTTTTAAACCAATTATCACAAATAATCATAGAAATATGCATGTATATGATTTCTTTACACAATTATTTACTTTACAAAATGATTTGCTATAAACAATATTTCATTGACACAATGATTTTCCAGAATAACAACTGAAATCTGCATCTATTTGTTTAAGTTTTTTTAAAAAATTTATGCCATCAATCTGCAACTGTGGCTTTGAAGAACACAGTGAGGATAAAAGTTTATATTTTACACTTTTTTTTTTTGAAATAATATTGTTTTAAAAAACATGAAGTAGCAATGGTTGCAATACACAAAACAGGAAAAAAAAATCTTTCAAATAAAAAAATAAGTAAAAAAGGTTTTGCTTGATTTAAATTGTATTACAAAAAAAGCGCGTTTTAAATGGTTTTATGAAAACTACGCGATTTTTTTTCGACCTTTTAAAAAAAGTCCCTTTTTAAAACTCTTTCCATAAAAAGGCCGAATTTTTTAAAAAAACGCCGATTTGCTAACTATGACAATGACGTATTACTTGCGATCATGTGGACCACAACCTACATATATTATTAGAAAAATTACCAAATACACCCTAAAATGGACTATCTATGCAACTTACCCCCACTCTAATTTTTTCTCACACTTTTTTTCCCCAAACAACCTTTTTTCGTAAAAACCTCCCAACCCAAAAGTAACATAAAATAAGACTAAAATACCTTCATTTCTTTTCACACGGCCTTCTCTCTCCTATTTTTTCTCACATGGCCTTCGGCTCCGACAATGGAGGATTACGCTCCGGTAATCCTAATGCGCACTTCGGCAGTCACAATGTGCGCTCCGGCAGTGCTTTGTTTGACCTGCATCGCTCCGGCATATTGAGAACTGTGTTTCGGCTTTTCACTCCGGCCGTTTGCTTTGGCAATGTAGCACCGCTCTCTGGCACTGCTTCTTGACATTCCACTCCAGCAGTAGTATATTGCCCTCTGGTGCTACTCTATTTGGGATCGCGAATTGATTTGGTTTATAAGGGAATGCGAATTGATTTGGTCTGTACAGGAAGCGTACTTTCATCCAAAAATTAAGAATTTTTTACTTTAAAAGGGTTTTTGGGAGCAATGGTTGGTTGGAGAAAAAAATGCGAGAAAAAATTGGGGTAGCGATAAGTTGCTAGGTGTATTTTGAAATTTTGATTGAGACGACAAATTCTTAAGTAATGTCGTCATAATCCTATCCTCTTTTTCATCCCACGTGGCGTGCTCTGGTTGGTCATCGTGATTCAGTTGGTCATCTTGATTCACATTCTTTGAGCTTCCCTGTATGCCAAATCCATTAAACTCATGCTAAAATTCCAAGAAAAAAAAGAAAAAAGCCAAAATGGTAGGTCTCAGTTGCTGCACCTTGGGATCATACAGGTTCTCTCTCTCTATCTACTGTTTCTGTAAGTGCTACTGTTATTTGTATGATGGATGTCTCTGCATTTCATATGGGCTGCAATGACTTATGATAAAGCCTCTGCTAAATTGCTTGAATTTAATAGAAATTTTTCATTTGAGCGACAAATCTCTTCCTACCATTTGCTAAATAGTAACAGAAATGAATTTTGGTTCTCAATGTGCAGTGTGATATCAGACTCAGAGCATTCAAGCTTTCCTTTTCTTTAACTATTGAGTATTTGATTAAGTCATTAAACTGAGAGAGAGAGAGAGAGAGAGAGAGAGAGAGAGAGAGAGAGAGAGAGAGAGAGAGAGAGAGAGAGAGAGAGAGAGAGAGAGAGAGAGAGAGAGAGTAGAGTAGAGAGTAGAGTAGTAGTAGTAGTAGTAGTAGTAGTAGTACGTAGTACGTACGT